TTGATTGAAATCTTGTTTTTGGTTCCGAAACTGTGTGCCAGTTTTTAATCTGATTGAAGTTTTCTTGTTGAGTGTTGCATAGGAAAATGTAGAGTCTCTTTTGAACATCCCAGCGCCTGGTGCATCTTTTCTGAAAAATTCACCATTAATGCTATAATGCCAGCAAACTGCATAATTGTTTGTAAGCTCAGTTATTGCTTTCATCTGGGCAAAGCTGTTAAATGAGAAAATCCCCAACATATATATATTTGAGAAATTTGACCGGGAATAATACAGGAGCGAAGCGGTCGGTTTATTGTGTGGTGGCTTTGACTTATTTGATGAGGTTTGAGTTGGAGAGGTCCAAATGTGATTCAGTTACAAAAATATGGGCTTTTCTTACTTTTTTTTGCACTGAAATACTGCACGTGCTCAGATTTCAAAATCAACCCCACATAGTTGGCAAAATAATTGATATTCTTGATAAATTCAAATGCTGCCGAACAGGTTCTAATTTTCAACCTCATAATGCAATTCTGTTTCATTTTTCATTTTGATGAAGGATTTGTGATGTCTTAAAATTTCCTTCGAAAGGATACAAAAAAAGGGTTAGTCAAATTCCTTGTCGTAATATGCAGTGTTACCACAATTTTAATGGTAAAAAATATCAAAATCTTCAACAAAACTGACATTCTGGCTCTTGAAATCCAGGAAAATCTGCTCCAAGAAAATTGGAATGGAAAAATGGGCACTTTTGAGAAAGTGGTCAATTTCACAGATCCTTCTGAAGGTGGACAGCCAAGAAAAATCACTGATCTTTTCAGCTACAACTCCTTGGGTCCAGCCCCTTTTGTCCTCATTTGCGTCGCAGAATCTGGAGAGAGAGCTGACCAGCCCACTGTCCTTTTCCGCCTCAACATTTTAAACTTCCTAGCATGCTTCATATTGTCAGCATTTGGGAGACTGTACAAATTATTTGCATCACTGTTTTTAGAGACTAAGAAGTCTCAACCAAGAAAATATGAGAATGATGAATAAAACACAACAATCAGCCTGAGACTGGCTGGGAGCCTTTTTATAGAGGCCCCAAAAGAATTGAGCATTTAATAATGTCCCAAAGAATAATGCAACTCAGAGAATTTTGGACTTCGCACACACATACTTTCACACAACACAATAGTAAAATCAGATGTCTTAAGAGCTCTTCACACTTCAAGAATTAGCAGTGGAATGGAATTCATAGTTACATGTTTTTTGAGACAGAAGAAAGAGAAAGCAAGTGGTTTTCCTTGTGGGCAAAATATTGGCCTCTGATTGGCTGATTTCATTGGAATCAAAGACAATGTTGTGCATTGTGGTACAATTCCTTTGGGAATTGTTCTTTTGTGCTGGGCCTCTGCCAAGGACCAGTATTTGGTATGCAGCATTGCAGCGGGGATTATTATTATGATTAATATTCACATATTTACGGGTGCCCAACTCACTCCCCAACAAATCCCTCCTGTTTTATCAACTGTGTTGTAATAAAAAACTGTATATTCGGACTGCCTTTGTTTATTTGAATCCTCCTGCAAAATCCTGCATCTCTCTCAAGGAAACACCTATGTAACTAGTAGAGACAAAGATTGTTACCTGAGCCGCAAGGCCTGTAGTACACCTTTTTACAAGACAATGTAGCTTGTATTTACTTAAGGTTCACTGTGGTTTAAAGAAGTCTCTCAATTACATCAGTTTGAGATTTCAGGATAACATAATGCTCAACACCTCAAGGATCATTCACATCAATTGCCACCTGATAGAAAATCCACATCCCACTGTAGAAACTAATCAATCCTTACTCTAAATGAGTCTTGTCCCACTTGAATGGGTAAAAAAAAACAGTAACAACCTGTAAGCCTAGATTTTTGTTTTTAATCCTTTCCTATGTAGCTCAGAAAGTCGGAAAATAGCCACATGGAAAAGGGATCAGGAATTCATTAAATTGCTCTTTGCAGAGAGGGCTATAAAGTGAAGCACTTCTCGCAGACCGTTTTCAATAATGCACGCATCATCCATCACGCAAAATCCGACATTAATTCGAGGTACGTCGACGGAAATACTTTGGTCCAAAACGAGATGAGGAATTCCAGGAAAAAAAAATTCCTGCAAAAAGTTTTCAATTCTCGGGCTTCTCAACAAAAACGATACACACCCAGAAACATATTTCTTGCGGGAAAATTACTGCCCACATGTTCGAGTCAATACGTAATATCATCAACAAATAAAACACGAACAAATTCAAGCTACATCTATGTAAAAGTGAAGAAAACTGCGTAACCCAAGACGTCGAAATGCTAAAAAAAGAATTCAAAGCTAAAATTGGGAAATTCATTTTTGCCTCGATCTCCGAGAACATTAGTACTTCACTAAAATAAAAACCAACAAAAAGCCTCTTTTTTTTTTATTCCCGCGAATTTTGCGAAGGATTTCGCAAAAGATGAGATTTCCTCGTGCACAACTGAAATTTTGCGGGAAAAATTCGAAAGCCGGAAAAGCTTCCATTTTCAGATTTTCTGGCCCCTGAAAAAATTATGAAGCACCGACATGGTCGAGCTTCGTTCAGTGGTTGCTTTAGGACGGGGCTCAGCACAAAGTTGTGGAACATTAGCTAGAGTCTTTAAACAAAAAGGAAGACATTTCTGAACAAATCAAAAGATGAAGAAGTATCTTTATCACAAATTTTCAAAAGAAGAAAAATACACAAATGTTTTTTGCCGCTTTTCCCTTCGGAGCATCCTGTCCAGGACTACAAAATTTAATTTGCTGTGACATAGGTGTCGCCTGCATTTTGTCCAGCATGAAGTGGTGCAATTTACCGAATCTATACTCTGACATACGCCACAAACATTTTTCAAAAAAGCTCAAAATCGGGATGCCACGCCTTTTTAGAAATTTGAAACTGTTGACTGAACCGAAAAAGGATAATTCTTTCACCCGCGTTTCAAAGACCAATACAGTAACAAAGAATATACAGTACATCTGATTTTCTAATTGTCCTGATATATTTCTAGGAAAATCGGTAGCTTCTGTACAGTACATTTAGATGGAAAGCAAGGCATTTTGACCAACCATGGGATCATCCATTTACCTTTGGGTGCAAGGAACCAATAAAATACTGTACTTCACCATGGGGGTTGATGAAAATATTGAATTTAGTAAAAAAAAAAAAAATGTCTGGAACCAATTAGTTCAGGGTTGCATGTTTCATGGCTACGCTGGTGATTCCAGCGACACCTGTCCGAAAAAATGAGAAATCACGGTCAGGAAGAAATAATAATTGAACATGAACTTCGGGAGGTTATCCTATACACCACTGTAATACAATAAATATACAGCAAGTGGATTTTCTCGATAAAAAATATCATTTATAATAATCTTCTCTGCAAAGTGAAATTTTTTTTTCTCCATTTGACAAATTGTTCCGGGCCTTCTGGATAAAGTTCACCTGCATTGTATTTTTTGGGGTCTGGTTAATGCTTCAGGTGACACCTGTCCAATGAGACCAGAAACTATGATCAGAAAAAACTTTCCTAATCCCCAAACACACATAGAAATGTCGTGACTCTGTATAGTTGGTTGGTAACACTGCCAGGATGAGGCAACAACAAGGTAATTCACTTTTGAGCTTCCATCATGAATTACAGCAGGATTCCCCACTCAACTACTCCACGCGTCAACAAACAGGGAGGTTCTCTTCCATTACTTGCTAAGTAAATCAAGTCCCAAGAGGATCAAACTTCCCCACCCCCCCCCCCCCCCACTATGCACGCGGAATTTTTAAATTGAACCCCAGACAACAACCAAGGACGAGAGACGCAATTTAACGATGGAAAAGAATCCGTGGTGGGGGAAAATGTGTGCTATAAGTTTCTGCATCACTAACAGATAATACTTCAGAAACAGCACGAAATAATGAGACATGGTTACACGTTTAATTGACAATTGAGGATATTTGTATGGTATTTTTAGAATAATTGCAGGAAATTGTACAGAGGTGATATTCGGGACCTTAAATTGCTTCTTAACTGAGTTGACTGAATGCTGAACTCAGAAACAAGGGTTTATTTGTCCAATTACTCTTCCACTTTCTTTCAAAACACATCACGTTAATTTCTATTCCTTTTCTCTTTCCTGAGTCAAGAAATGATAGCTTAAGAAAATTTGAGGTACCCAGGTACCAGAGGAAAAGCCTTCCAGTTAAGAGGGAGACTGGACAAGTCACACAGCAACAACCCAAACAATGACAACTTGCACAGTGTGACAACTCACACAGTGCAACAAATCACTCAGCATGACAACTCACATAGGTTTTTTTCCCTCCTACTCCTTTTTTGTTGCCTTAAATTTAAGTTCAGGCAAATATGTATAATCTTTTGTGACTTAATTCTCTTATTTACTAAATTAATTGTATGCATTTTCAATTCTCTAACTTGGAAAAATGGGGCTTGAGGACATAGAAAATGCCAAGATAAATGTGTCCATGGAAATCTCTCATAATGGAGGAACACAATTCTTTTCATCCTCAAATTTTTTTCCCTTGCAAATTGTCAGGGAATCAATTAAGAGAGGTTCTTAATGCATTACTTCAAAGGGAATCCACACAGGGACTTGGGAAATTTGAGTTAGGGAGGTTATACTTCTTCTAACTTTTTAATATTTATTAGTCTATACTGTATTTGAAGTTACAGTAATAAGTTCATGAAGAAAAAACTGTTGGGTGGGGAGGGGGTTTGGATGTGGAAATCTTGATTGAACCTTTTGAACGCTGAAAAGCAGCAAATAAAGTGTTCTGTTCATTTATTAAAAAAAAAATCTTCTCTGGAAATTAAATGGAATACAGTACAGAATATACTTTTCGTTTCCCGGAAAATTCAATTCCTTTGCAGGTTGATCATAGAACTATCTGACTACACATCTTCTCTGCACTTCATCAAACAAATCACAGAGGAAATTTCCAAATAATCTCTACTTGTGGGAAGGCTCGAGTTATCGAGCTTCTACTGTATATATACAGAAGAAATGAGGGGAAGGTGGATGAAATAAAAAAAATCAAGAGAAAAGATTGAAATTCCAACCAACCTGAGGGATTTCGCTCCACTTCCGCGTGCACATTGAGACTGCAATTGCCAATGGAGTCCTGGGAAGTGACCTTCACCAGAGTGGTTGGCATGATGGCGCCGGCCGGCGACTCCCGGTCAGACAACCTCTTGGGCAACACTAGGCTCACTGGACGAGTCTTCACCACTCCCACTGACTGGCTCCTGTCCAGGGACACGCACATACACACATTCACCCAAGAGAGGAGAAAGAGGAAAAAGAAGGCGAAAATTATATCACGAGGAAATGAATGAATACAAGAAGAAAAAACAAAGTATCTTTCCGCTCAACACCGCGTGTTACAAATAGCAAAGAAAGCGCTGGCCGAGATAATCCCACGCAGGTCCCGTGCCAACCGGCAACGAGGTCGTTCGATAATCTCGCCCAGGTTCTCTCGAAACTTCGAATCAACCAAAATCTCCTGTCTTGGGGGGAAAAAAAAGAGAGAAGAAATGTGTCTCCCCTCCCCTTGCCCCCCAAAAAAAAAAACTATCTTGCATCTGAAGACTTTTTCTTGTGTGTGCACAGCTTTTTGTGTAACGCAAATAAAGATTACTCTCTCTCCCTCTCTCTACAACGAAATTCAAAGGACTCGAAAAAAAATCGAAGATAACTCATCATAAAACATTAGGAAATTACTCTATGGGGCAAGAAAAAGTTTTTACCCAGAGAAAATAGTTGTAGAGAGTCTATCTTTACCTTCAAAATATGGAAGCTCTGATCAGAAAAAAAAGAACAGGAATTATAAGAACATATATTTCAAGAAAAACATTTTTTGGCTCATGTGATTCCAATGTTTTCTTACAAGAAATGTTTGCACAACAAATGTTTTGTTATATGGGACTTTATTCTTTTCCAAAGCATGAGCAAAATTCAATGTACCTAAAAGCCCAACATCTTGGACCAACCCTTCCTTGAATGCAGTCAAATGTGACTCTATGACTTGAATCAAAAGGTCATGTTTATTTGTGAATCATACCAATGTAAAGTACAGCAACACCAAGTTAGACATGAACACAGGTTTTTACATGATAATACTACCATATAATGACCCTAATGACAGTAGATTCTCTATTCTATATGCATTACATTACATCACTTCAATAAGAGCACCATGTTTTAACCCTTGCAGTGCAATATTTACAATAACACTTCTGCCTACAGAAAAGAAGTTAGGCATAGTATTATGTGTTTGATTGATTCAGATTATGTTGGTTACATGTTAAATTATTTTGAATTTTTGTTCATGTCCAGTTTTTGGTTATTTTATAGAGTTTGGCTATTCAAAGATTTTGGTCATTTTGTGTTTGATATTGTTTTGCTTGTTATTCAAGTCACATGCTTGAATATGTCCAGTGTTTCTTATTTAAGTTATGTGCTTGATCATGTCAAGTGTTTGTCAAAAGTTCATGCTGCCATGGTTTGCTATGTAACTTAGGCATTTCATTACGTTAGGTGCATAAATAATTCCTCATGTACTGTATCACTCTATGCTGTATTATCTAAAATGGGTGTCAGGAGGAGTGTCCAGTTAATAGAGGAACAAAGTTTAGTGCAGGTGGTAATTTGCAGTTTGCAATCTTGCAATTCAATGGTCAAATTGTCTGAGAGGCCAACTCTCAATTCAACCTGTGCTACACAATTTGACCTGCACAGTGACATGAAACATCAAATGCCATTTAACATTGTCTCACAATTCAACTGCTTTGCAATTGGACCCTAGTACAGCAATGTAATAGGGTCAAATTAGAAGGTACCACCTGTATTCATAAGTTTTTATACAGGTTAGATAGGCATCATATCAAGTTCCACAGAATGTTATTCCATTTGGATTACTAATGCATCAGGGTGTATTAATGTTGGGAGAGATTATGTTTTAGATTATTTTTCAGATAGTTTCATGGTGATTAAACTGTTCTATTTTAGGCTTCCAGTAAGATTACTTACTATGTTTGTTTGTGTCTCCATCAATAAAGGTCGCTTATTTCTTGCTCAAATTGCATGAAAATCACTGGGATAATGTTTGCATCAGTTCTCGGTTGGCTTCGCTTCTATGCTCAAGTACAGATACGTACTAAAATTCAGAAAAAGTATTTATACGTGACTAAAAAAAAAAAAAGAAGATGGTCCAACTTTGGGCAGAAGCGTTTGCCTCAGCACATCCAATCAGAAACTTGGTGGGTTGTACGGAGTTACTCTGCACAAAGACGCCTATTCAGGAAACTCTCCTTTCAATGCCGTCGATTTCCTTCAACTATCTCACGAATTCAGCGCAAAAAAGAAAATAATAAATGAAAAAAGGCGAGTGGTCTAATTTCCTTCGGACTCCGCGACTCAAAGAGCAAGACTCTGTTTCGGTTCCAAGTCAGTGGATGACATTTATTTTCATTAGATTTTTTTTTTTTGCCGTCAACAACCCTGGCACCGCATTTTTTTTCCAACAATTTTGGACGAGACATTTTGATTTTTTTTTGCAAGTCACGTGAGGTGACATACTGAACCAAAAAGCAAAATTGAATCCCTCAGCTTATACTTGCAGGATATATCGCCGATTTTTTCGTTCTTGATTCGCCAGAGAAGTCTGAACTTGGCACTTTGACAGCAAGACTTGACCTTGGAAATTTCGTGCCTTTAGCGGGGTTTTAGGTCAAACTAGACAGGTTTTATCAAGCTTAGGTCCCTTGACTCTTTCATTTCGGTGTCTGGAACAGTTAAGAAATACTTGAAAATTTAAATTGTCAGTTTTGAGCTATGAAAATGCCGATTAATGAGGTTGATTACTTGAAACTTTGAGATTCAGTTTATTAGTTTTCCGTAACACGGTTTGTAAACGCTGATTTCATGGCATGATTACCTTCAATTGAAACATATGAAGGCTAGTTCATGGAAATGATGAAATGTTTACCTCGGTCGGCGAATCAATATATTGTACAGTATTTTTCTTATTTTAAAGTTTGAATCTTAATGCCACGAGTCAGATTTGAAGGGGATTTAAAAAAAGGCTTGGTCAAGGTTTATTTTCGTTTTCCTTTTTTTTTTAATTCTAGGACACTGAAAACTTATTTCACGGACTTTAATCAACTTCACGGGAATTCCAAAGAGGGACTACGGAATTTTGTTCTTAGGATTGAAAGAAACTCCTCGGGTTTCGAAGCCATGTATATTTTTCAATCTCATCAGTAATTAATTCAGTACTCGTACGAGTCAGATTTGAAGAGAACTCGGAAAAAAAATTAATTCCGGTTTAGTTCATGCTATTTTTGTCGCTTCAAGGAGCCGAAAAGTTTATTTTATGGCTTGATGAATGCACATGCACTTCAATAAATAACTGAAAAGGTCAGTTTTTGGTCATTTTTGGAAATACAATATTTCTTGTTCGCGTGGAAATCCGGGTAACAGGATTTCTACACGTCAGATTTTTCTGGAAAGTAGAGTAAGAATTCAGTTTGGATCGAGTTTAGTTTTCAAACTTGGCCTCCGCTTCAGAGGTTTCGAAAAGAAAATTTGTGGCGCGACGACTAATAAAATAAGTGCTGTACAATACTTTCATCAAGGACAAGATGGGTTCTTTCTTGGCATTTTCGCAAAAATTTTCCTTTGGCGAAGGAAATGAGCTTTTGTTTCTATAGTTTAGAAAGTACTTCTTTGAGTTGAACCACAAGTTAAATAGGCGATGAATTTATTTCAAGTCAGTTTACAGCTTTTTAAAATTTAAAGTCTTCGAAAAGTTCAATGAAAGGCATGATGACCTTACAAGCAGTTTAATTAAAGAGTAATGGAGTCCGTTTTTTCACATTTCGAGAAAATGTTGTTATTGGACAACAGGAAAATGTTTCTTCTTCGAAAATTTAGATAGTTGCCCTACGATTTAGATTTTCTGTTAGGGGTTCGATAGCAAAAAAAAAAAAAAAAAAAAAAAAAAAAATTGGGGAAACATATAGTTGCCCTACGATTTAGATTTTCTGTTAGGGGAAAAAAAAAAAAAAAAAAAAAAAAAAAAAACCTACTTGGGAACTCCAACGGCAAACAAAACATCTCATTAGTTTTCCTCATTTTCAAAAAAAAAAAGTTTGGCATGGGAATCCTTAAAAATGTTTATCTTTTCTATTATAGTTTGATTACAGTGCTGCAACGGGTCAGATTTTGCTGGGAACCCTGGTAAGGATTCATTGGCGAAAGGCAAAGAAAGAAAGAAAAAAAAAACCCCTCGGACCAGAGCCAACAGGGCGAACCCGTGGCCCCGGGAACCAGACCGGAAAAGCGGGGCACGGGATGAAATGGAATCAAGTCGTTCCACGCAATAATTCAGCACAGCTGCGAGCGAAATGAGCCAAGGGGTAAAACCTACGGGACACGAAAACCCCCTTCCGCCATAACTTGCCCACCTTTGGGCCCTTCTCCAAAGTTCAACCCAACAATAACTATTGCTGATTCGCTCATCAGTCAAACACATTCAAAATACAGTACAAATATTCTACCTTCCGCTTATTTCAACACCAAAAATGTAACGGCTTTATCGCGGTTTTGTGCTAATTGCATAATTGTCAAGAATATTTCATTATTTGAGGGTTCATTAGTTCTCACTCAACGCAGGAATTACTTTTCAAAATGGGACATGGTTTTTACCTGGTCATTTTCAATACTGGTATCCAGTGTTGCCACACTCTTAAATCTCAACTGCTGGCTGATCCCAAATAAAGTAAATGAGCAGACGCAAAGAGTTGACAAAAAGGAACCCACATTTATCAAAGACTAGTGTTGAAAACAAAACTATACTCGTTCACTCTTTATTTAGAAAGAAAAGTCTTCAACTTCTTGAAAGAAAGATAAAAAAAAACATGAATTTACGCTTAAAAAAAAAAACATCCTCGACAGAATATCCGCTGATTTATTTCCGAATAAAGCTTAAAATTACTCTAAATGATAAAATTCGGATGAAACATTAATTAGATGCTCCGAGATGAGGACAAATATGACAACATTTTAAAACTTTTACTTTTGACGCTTGCTTGTTCAAGACATGTTCTTCATGATTCAAAAACGTTACAACTCCAATCCAACACTTGGTCTAATACGCTTGTCATGAGGAAATTATCGTCATTTGTATCAGAAATCTTCAAATTGATTAACTGATCGCTGGTTAATTTTCCACTGATTTTTCCATGAACGATACAACTCTAAACA